CGCGCCCCCTGCCTCGAAGCCGGCTCCCCCGCTCCCTCGGAGCTGCCTTCTGGAGGCCTCTTGCTGTACTCTGGTCAGGTTTTCGGTGCTCTCCACCCTTAGTTCCTTCTCCCAGTGGGTGCCGCCACTTGTCTGCGAGCCGTAGGCCTCATTGAAGCATAGTGGTTTCCATTGGCTTTGAAAGAGCTTTGGAAAGCATATCCCTCAGATCCCGTTAATGCTGCCATTTCTGAATAATTAACCTAAAAGTGCTTTGAGCTTCTCTATCATCGTGTTATCACTCTTCTGACAAAGAATAAAGTGTTTATGTGCCTGGTCTCACTGTCCTAAACAGTCTAAAGGTGTGGGCATGAACGTGCTGTGGGTTCGTACCCCATCCAGAGTGCAGGTGTAACACAGAAACTGCAGCCTCTTCAGGATGCTCCCAAGCTGCCAGCCGTTCGTGCCTCTGTCGTTTAGGTTATTTATCTTCTGAGCATGTGGGACAGGGATAATATCTAGTACAGTGTCTTAGAGATGGACAGTCAAAAGAAAGTGTTCTGTGTTATGGATAAGTTGCAGGCCATTGCTGAAGGAGTAGAGGTTCCCCTGCCTGCCCATATTTCTCCATGTGCAGTAATGGTCTGTTAAATTAAGCCTGGTGTGTAGTGAACTTCAGTTAGTGAGCTGATGGGTTTACTATCAGTTGAAGACTAGTTTGGAAATGGAGAAAGATAAATTTGAAACAGTCTGGTTATTTCTCACCACTGAAGCTTCTGACCGCTGCCTGCCCCACACTGTTCCTCAGGCCCAGGACAGAATGCATTGCTTCATTACGAAGGCTGGCAGCTTACTGTAAACCTGCCTCCATCACTGATTAAAGCTGAACTGATGCACGTGTGTACGTTTTGATTCAGTGATTACTTTAGGAGCGTTCATTAATGCTTAAAACTGCCAGAGGTACAAAGATCTGCCAGCAGCCCAAGACACCCTAATTAAGACCTCACTGGGGTACTGAAACTGGGCAGTGTGACTACAGTACCTTGTGGGTGAAAACTTCACTGGTGTTTGGAAGTGCTGCCAGTCATGCCTGATGATCAGGGAATTCGGTGGCAGAGCTGCTGTTAACTCTGATGGGGATCAGAGTAGGGATAAAAGGCACTTTGGTAGACCTGGGTTTTCTGCATTATCTCCTCCTTATTGACAACTGTCTTTTCCAACTGGCAAATTATTCTTAAAAATAACTTTGTTTTTCTTTTCAGTGCAGTTAGTGCTTGTCATCTCGAATTGCAGCCTGCTTTCTTAGTATCTTAAGCAGCTGCTTTATCTTGCTGAATGCTTTTCAAGTACTGTGGCAGGCTTATTTTCAAATCTGGCAGCCATTTAAATGTCAGTTCTGTTGTGACTGGCTTAATAGTAGATAACTACTGCAGTTTGAAACAACCATCTATGCGTTATTTCAGTCTTCAACTATAACTTAAAATCTTAAATTTTTGTATGATTGCTGGACTCAAATTTAGAGAAGGGGATGCAGAACAGCCTCTGCTAGGCCCCTGCATGCTGTCAATGAGAGTAAATGTCTTAAAGTGCGAATAAGGCTTCTGAAACAGCAAGTGTGCCGATTTCTCTGATAATTTCTCAATCCTTAAATTGAATCTCTGTAGATAGTTTTTAACAGCCTATGTGAATATTTTCTACAGTAATTTATTTTTTTAAACTGATATCTAGGACAAAGACACAGGCTTTCACAAACGTTATTGCTGGATTAAATTCTCAACTCAACAAGATGTTCAGAATGTATTTCAGAAGGACTCCCACATACTTGAAGGTGCTAAGGTAATGTGCTGATTCCTTTAATGAAGTAATGTAATGAGTTGAGCTCTTTCATTCTGCCTTTGGTTGGATACAGTAACATCAAAATATTGCCATACTCATTCCAAGTGTGCTGAAGCGTTTTGCCACTTAGCGTGCTTTTAATGTTTTTTAAATCATTAACACTTTTGTTTATTCCCCCCCCCCCCCCCCCCCCCCCTCCTTTTTTGTGGCGT